AAAATCAGGACTTAGTTCTGAATTTAACACACATGCTTATGTGTGCAGAGGATGACAGTTTTATATAAAAAATAGGGAAAAAAAAAAAAAGAAAAAGGCTTCCCCAAGGGTCCAAAGTCATTATTTTTGCTTGAACTATTTAATACCAAGCATAAGTACTAGAGAGACCTGGAGACCCAGGCTCGGTGTGCCACGTGCAGTCAGCCTGCGCAGCACTCGGGCCAGGCTGCTGAAGGTCTCTGGGATGCCATCGCTCCCTCCCGTGTACCCGGGCTTCAGATGAGCTGCCCTTCCCACATGCAGGTGAAGCAGCATCCACCACTGCCCTAAATCAATGTGCAATCATGTAGCTTTTGCAGAAAATGGGTCAAGCTACATGTGGTCGGGTTCTGCCTTCTGGTGTGCTCGAAAACTTGGTCCTGGCTGCCCGTGTGCGGCTCTCAGCCTTAGGTGGGGAGAGTGATCCATCCTCCTAACGCCATTGGCATCTGGTGCAGAAAGCAGATCTCCAGGACAAGAGGATGGCAGGATAAATCCACCTTTCTCTGTGGTGTGAAGGAATTGCATACCTGCCCTTGCTTTGCCACGGAAGAGGAGGAGCAAAGCTGCTGTTGGTTTAATCGGGTTTGTTCTGCCATCCTGTGGGATGAGCGTGGAGGACTTGTGCTTACAGTGAGCACCTGCGCAGCCTTTGGAGAGACCTGGGCAGGGTGGCTTTCCAGGAATCTGTCCTTCCAAAATGTCCCACGTTGAGTTGTCTGGTCTGTGTTAGTGAAATTGGCCTTGCCAAGGGTCACAGACATCTGCCTGCAGCTGTCTCAGCCCACCTCCAAATCCCAGAACAGAGCACAAGGTGGAAGACAGCAAGATGGCAACAGCTGAGATTTGCTTTTAACCAAAAGGAACTCAAGGGGGTTCAGTGTTCCTCCCCACCAACCAACAGCCAAACATCTCCAACTTCAGCAGAGCTAAAGGAAAATGGCTGCTGAAGTGCTGTTCAGCTTTGCACAGGAGCACCGAGGAACAGGGGGGCATGGGTTTAGGTGGCAACAAGCTCTTTCCTTCATCCTTCGCCCCAGACCGAAGGCAGGCTGAGGCATTTGATGGGTCAGGAAACTGGTCCTGCAAGAAGGTACCTCTCCCTGCTGCCTTTTCCAGAGCGGCAGAAGTGCCAGCTACTTGGTTGGATGCTTTGCTGCCTCTTGCCAATAAGCTTTGCCTGTCTTGGGAAGGAGAGCATGAACACAGATGTGTGCAGTAGTCACATCTGGAATGCCTTCAAGTCCCCCTGCACGCTTACTTCTGCTTGTCAGGGCACACAGGAAAGGTCGAATGGGCAGCTGCCAACTGCTGCCCCTTTGACAACATGCTGTGAATTAATTCCTCAGCACCTCCTGCCACTTCCCCTGGGACCCTCCAGCTACAAAGACGATGCCAAGAGGCCAACCAGATGTAACAGGCACCTCTGAGGACCGGGGAACTGCGTGGTGAGGCAGGCCTGAGCAGGGACTCGATGGAGACAGGCTGTTCGTGGCATTTGTGTCCAGATTAGTGACCCCCTCCTTGGCAGCGTCGCTACATAGCCTGGCCCACAGTGGCTTTAAAAGTGGCAGAAGGTGGCTTTAAAGGTGGCAGAACGGACAGTGGGGTGGATTGAAAACTGGCTGACAGATAGAGCTCAGAAGGGTGTGAGGTTTGTAACAAGTGGTGTTCCCCAGGGGTCAGTACTGGGTCCAGTCCTGTTCAACATATTCATCAATGACCTGGATGAAGGGATAGAGCGTACCATCAGCAAGTTTGCTGATGACACAAAACTGGGAGGTGTGGCTGACACGCTGGAAGGCTGTGCTGTCATTCAGCATGACCTGGACAGGCTGGAGAGTTGGGTGGAGAGAAACCTTATGAAGTTCAACAAGGGCAAGTGTAGGATACTACACCTGGGGAGGAATAACCCCATGCATCAGTTGGTTGGGGGCTGACCTCCTGGAGAGCAGCTCTGTGGAAAGGGACCTGGGAGTCCTGGTGGACAACAGGATGACCATGAGCCAGCAATGTGCCCTGGTGGCCAAGAAGGCCAATGGCATCTTGGGGTGCATCAAGAAGAGTGCGGCCAGCAGGTTGAGGGAGGTCATCCTCCCCCTCTTCTCTGTCCTGGTGAGGCCATATCTGGAATATTGTATCCAGTTCTGGGCTCCCCAGTTCAAGAAGGACAGGGAACTGCTGGAGAGGGTATAGTAAAGGGCTACAAAGATGATTAGGGGATTTGGGCATCTTTCTTATTAGGAAAGGCTGAGGGACTTGGGGCTTTTTTAGACTGGAGAAGGCTGAGGAGGGATCTTATAAATACTTATAAATACTTAAAGGGAGGGTGCCAGCTTGATGGCAACAGTCTTTTTTCAGTGGTGCCCAGTGATAGGACAAGCGGTAATGGGCACAAACTTGAACATAGGAAGTTCCATCTAAACATGAGGAGGAACTTCTTTACTTTGAGGGTGGCAAAGCACTGGCACAGGCTGCCCAGAGGGCTGGTGGAGTCTCCCACCCTGGAGACATTCAAAACCCGCCTGGATGCCGTCCTGTGCAACCTGCTGTAGGTGACCCTGCTCTGGCGAGGGGGTTGGATTAGGTGATCTCCAGAAGTCCCTTCCAACCCCTGTCATTCTCTGATTCTCTGTGAGAAGGGGCAGACGTTTAGATTTTTCTCTCCTGTCTGTTGTAGCTGCTGCAGGACGATTTTACTGGGACATGCAAGGTTAGAGCTTGCCCTTTTCTAATGCTGGAAATCCAAAGCTCTGGTGTTGAGCACAAGCGAAGAGGCATGTTATGTAAATAGGTTCTGTTGAAGTCCAGTGCAATCAGTCTTCAATTTCATCAGGGTTCTAAGCCTTTCCTTCCAGTTGTGGTTTGTGCTTCCCAGTATCCAGCGTGCCAAGTCCACTCTGTGAAAACCAGTGTGTGGGGCTGCCCCATGCATTGCACGGGCACAGTGGGATGGTCCCTACCCCAAAAAGCTGAAAATCTATACAGACGTGGTAGGTAGAGCGGGGATAAGATAGATCCCGGGCAGCTGGAAGGACATGCCCGCAGGCATCAGCACCAGAACTAGATGCACCATCCAGACCACCAGTTGTCTATCCCACTGCCAGTCTGTCACTCACCCCGAGAGCGATGTCCAAGGTGTCTTGGGTGTCTGTTACATGTTTCATTCAACTCTAGTTCAACAGGCCTTTGTACGTGGCTGTTTTAGATCTTGGGTGCAAGTTCCCACGCGTGTCAGGGCAGCAGCTCAGCCACTAGCAGCAAGGAGAATCAAACGGGAGCCTGACTGCTCGGCAGTCCAAAGCTCAAGGAACAGCGAGCATACAAAGTCCATGTCTGCCAGGAATAACGCGTGCTGCGAGCAGGGGGTGGCTGGTTTGAGGCTGGTCAAACGGGGGCTTTTCAGTAGTAGTCAGGACTGCAGAGCGAGCATGACTTGCACCTTCTCGCAGCGACATCCCTGTGAATTACTTGCACCCATGTAAATTTTCTACACCCGGGACTCTCTTCTCCAGATTCTCCTTAGTCTGGGGAGCTTCCCGGGGAGAAAACCCCCATCCTCTCTCTGCAAGTGTTGTCCCAGAGCAGAGAGGACCTTTTCTAAGGATGCTTGCCTTTTGTCAGCAGCAGTGCCAGCTCCTCTGCTAGGGATGTCCCCAAATGCAGGTAGCAGTACGGAAGCAGTGTGGCAGGGCACGGTCCCGCCCTGCCACTCAGTCCGCGTCCTGCAAGCTGCCACGGGTGCCGCAACAAGCCCTGCTAAGGGAGAGCAGCAGCATCGCTGGACCGAACGCCTTCAGTTCTGCCAGCAAGCCCTGCGCGAGCCGCCGGGCTCTCACAGGGCGTGTTGCATCCCCGTCAGCTCGCTTGTCGTGCCGAGCGCTGGGTGTTAGCTGCTGGGGGAGCCTGTCTGACAGCAGGGAGCAAAACTCAGGGTGCTCGGACAGAGCCTGCGCTCAGTTCTGTGCGGCAGGAGGTCGCGTTGAGGCTGCAGTCGGTGGTGGAAGCCAGGGCATCCCAATTTCCTGCACTGCTGCTGCTGTAGACGGGAGGCTGCCCCACAGCAGAGCCATCTTTTCTGTCATTTTTTCCATCAACTGTCTGTCACATCTGCCAATCTAATGATGACCGGCTTAGGTTGACCCCGATTCTGAGGCTTATTAACACCCTCTTGCTGTCAGGCTCGGTGACAGATGGCACATCAGCCCCCGTTTTATTTCATGTAGTGTTCATGTCAGCCACCCATTACCTCGCCCTAGTTCACAGTTTACCAGTTTCAGCTCACCTTGGCAGACCAGACTCATCTGCGCAGCATCTCTGCAAGCTGGGGAAGGACCAGGACAAGGGGTTTCCTTCACGCCAGCAGCTCTGGGGCTTTCGCAGGATGGCTGAGGCAGTCCTGCGGTGTGCTGCCCTAAAAGGGATGGTCCCCATCAACGCCACCATGAACCGGTTCAGTCATCCCAACTGAAACCTGCACGTGTCGTGGTGGCTGGTTGTTTTTCTGCCTGCTCGGTGACCTGAACTGGCTCATCGGGGGCAGCAGGCGAGCCGGGGAAGCAGAGAGGAGCAGATCTGCCACGACAGTGCAGTGGGACGGGGCGCTCAGGCCAGTCTGTCTGCAGAGACTCCTCTCCCAGGAGCTGCTGTGTTTGGTGACACGTTCTGGTTCTGGGGTTTCAGCCTCCTGCAGAGCTCCTGCCGCCGACCCAGCTGCCTTGTGCCGGGGACTGGAGTTGGACGAGGGGCTTGCAGGGCAGGGATGAGGGGCCTTGGGGCTCCTCCTTCTCGCAGCTTGTGTCCGCTGTTGGGCAAGCATGGCCCTGCCTGGAGGGGAAAGGGGGTGGCTTTGTCGCCCCTGCGCCTGTGCTGCTCCCCCCGCGATCCCAGCCCAAGGGCAGGGTCCTGCCGGTTGTCCTCCTTCACTCTCTCACGCTGTTCGTCTCATCTGCCGGTTGCAGGGTGCCAAGAAGCTCTGTCCCCAGTGTAACACCATCACGTCTCCCGGAGATCTTCGGCGCATCTACTTATGAAGGACCCAGCGGGAGGGCGGGACCCAGCTACTCAGCTCAGCTCATCACACCAAGGGGGAGAAGAACGACCGCAACAAAACAAAACACAAAAAAAAAAAAAAAGACGTTTTAAAATGTAAAGGAAAAAAAAAAAAAACAAACCAGAGACTCCAGACATGGACTCGAGGATACAGGAGCAGCGGGGAGCCTCGGCTCCCAGGTCCCGCATGTTGAGACCTCCTTCAGCATCTGCAGCGGGCAAAACCAAACCCTTTGTTGTGAAGCCCCCTTTTTTAAAAACCAGAATTCCCCATCCACGCGTTCCCTGGAGCTGGCTTTGCATCGCGGATGGCTCATGAGCCCTCCTTTGGACTGTGTTGTTGACCACTCTGCCCCCAGGAGACTGGGGAAGGGACCCTTGACAGAAAGATGTTAAATAACCTGTAACTTGTGTTCTTTGTTCAGTTTTTTTTTGTTTTGTTTTTATTTGTTTTGGTTTGGTTTTTTGGTTTGGTTCTGTTTTGGTTTTTTGTGGTGTTCTAGTGATAAAAAAAGGTTTAAAGAAAAAAAAAAACACACCCAAGCAGAAATGAAGCACATGTAATATAGATTATATATGTTTACAATGTTGTGTATAAATGGGATAGACTCAAACATTACATACTAATAAGTTTCCCTTTCTTTTTTTTGGGTTGTATTTTTTTTAAAGAAGAAAAAAAAATGAGCAGAGAACATTAAACCCATATTTTTCTTGGTTCAGCAAAGTTTTGGCATTAAAGTCATTAGTTTAAAAAAAGTATATATATACATATATATAATATAAATGGTTTAATGTTCTGTGGTGTATATTTCCTCATTCAGATATGAAGTTAACAGCTTTTAGTAATGGCTGTAGCATTGCCCATAACTTACAGAACTTATGGGGAGTAGAGGAGGTGGATTTTTGTCATTAGTTGTAGCTAATGGGGCTATTTATAATAGAATCGTTATCCCCGGAAAGACACGGCTTTTAACTCCTCGCCGGGCGACCGGGCAGGGTTGGGGGGGATCTGGCTCAGCCCCCCTTTTGCCTTTCCCAGCTGGGGATGGGGCAAAGGGGGTGCAGAGCTGGAGGGAGGCAGCCTGCCAGAGCGCTGCCCTCTCCCCCCCCCCGGA